CGGGCTTTATGTTAATTTCGGTAAATTCTCTACTGGCTTAATATAACAAGGTATAAAGCATTTTAAGAATTCAGATTGTAAAACGTACAACACCTGTACATTTATATTGCTCCAACAAAGAAGTTTCAACAAATTAGTAGCGTAAATGAACAACATCTAGAAAAACAGTTTGCAGTTTTTAGTACCTGACGAGTTCGTTTTATTCTATTCTGGATAGGACGAAATATTCCTATCACGCCTAACAAACGCGAATCGATTGATGAATCGATTTCTAAAAAACATAGCGAAGAACACTCAACGGATATACCTTTCAAACAAAAAAACCGCATTAAAATCGGCTCATCCGTTTGGGAGCTACGTTACATCAGACAGACATATACACATACACAGACAGACAAATAGACACGTCAAACTTATAACCCTGTCGTTTTTGCGTCGGGGATTAAAAACACAACAGTAATGAATAAAGTTAGTAATGAATTTTGTATTATTTTCCAGACAAATCTACAAAGATCTATCATGCCTAGTGGATGTATGTCAGCAGGTTGTAACGTTAGATCGTCTCGTGCACTACGCATTAAGAAGGGAGCTACGTACTATGGAAGATGTCATGCAGTTCGCGGCTCATCTACGGTTGTATGTGATACAGGAGAGCGAAATAGTGGCTGATAGAATCGTGAGTATATGTGTTTTATAAGGCAGCCCTACTAGGGCTACTACCTACTAAATGACTTGGGCCTGTCCAGAACTCACATTAACTCATTCCTGGATCGTACTTCGAAGGCAGTCCTTGTAGGTTCTTTTCAAATTTGGTTAGGTAGAGAGAGGAGCTTGGACAGTGGAGGTGAGCGTTTAACGCGCGTTAGATAGGGACCCTTTAAACCTACATCTGAGTCGCAAGTCACAGACACTGTTGAAGCTCCTCTCACTACAACGATGGACCTGGCACCCGCACGGTGAATACATTGAATTCTAAAGAGGTTTTGTCTGCATATAGTTTGTATTGTGTTCGTTATTAATTGATTCATCCAAATTCATTATTTGGATAAACACTTTATTTTTAATAAGGATTATCATATAAAAGCATAGGTATAATTTGTTTTAGGATCAAACTAAAACGGTTTAGTGCTGCCATTTAGTTAAACTTAACCACATATACAGGGTGACTGGTGAATTACTATCGATACTTGAGGACGTGATATTTGACGATCATATATGACAAAATAAAAATTAATATGACATAAATATTAATAAACTTCTAAGTAAAGTTAACCAAAATTTATGTAATTAATTGTTCATCGTGTGAACACCCTACAGATTAGGTATACACACACACACACACACACACACGCGCGCGCGGCGTGGTGTTGTATCAACACGCCGCCGCACGCGTCCACACTTGGAACACTTGGAACGTGTCTACACTTTATTTATTTATACGGAAATTTGGTCAAAAATTAAGTACCTATTTTTTTACATAATTCGAATGAGAATCATGTACCGAGTATGCTCCTTAAATATTGATAGTAATTCACCAGTCACCCTGTATATTTTTGATTCTAACAATATAATTAAAAACTATAGTTGTTTTGTGATGCCAGTACTTCTAAATCACATAACCTTAATTAGAAAAAAACTATTATCTTAAACCAAGACACCTTCAATAAGTTAAGTTCAATATATAAATACACAAGTTGCATAGACAAATATTTTCCCGCGTAAAATTGAACAAACCAAATGTCATTGCTTAAGGTCACTTTGGGTGCGTTCGGGAATTTAAAGCTTTGGTTCAAATTAAATGTTTGTTCCCTAAATATATCATGTTTCAGGAGTGTCGGTCACTGAACTCATTGGCTGAACAAGCCTCAGATCCTCGTAGTGATTTTGGATTACTACCGACACCAACTCGAGCTGTTCTCGAACATGTGTCTCAACAGACAGTACCTGGCATTGAACAGTCTATCACATTGATCTTATACTCAAGTAAGTTAAATCATTCCTTTAGAAATATGTATGTTCATATGGTTTAGAATTATTGATAGTAATTTTTAGTTTCCTTTGTCAGTACTTTAAAGTAACAATACATTTTTATTAAATAATAACGACTTTTTAATCACTCGAAAAGTGTACTTTGATACGATATTTTATTGATTCACGATTCTGATAAAGAGCTGATTTACCCAAACAAAATATAGTTTTTGTCATAAACGTCGTAAGCATAGCGAAAACTACGAAGTATCTCTAAAATGTAGAAATATCTTTCAAATCAATTATCGCATTATGTCCAAATGAAAAAAATAATAAAATTATTACCTATTCAGATTTCAGATAACAAAATGAAGAATAAAAAGTCACACTCGTTGTGATCCATGTGCTAATAGTCCACGATGCTAACTAATATAACTAATATTTTCGGATTTCTACCGAAACGTCGAGATAACATAAAATACGTTTAGTACATCCGAAAATATTAGTACCATTTAAATGAATACTCTCTAAAGCCTCAGATATCATGAACAACTATAACATGATCTCCAGATGCATGTCCAACCCGGTGTTATCCCACGAGGTCCGCGCGTCCTTCTGCCGCCTCATGCTGCACCTGCACGTGGACCGCGACCCTCAGGAGCCCGTCACACCCGTCAAGTACGCGAGGCTGTGGGCAGAGGTCGCCGCCACCATACGAGTGAACGAGTCGGTACACACACACACATCAACATTAACACACACATGCAAACACCCCGCGTGTTAAAAGACCAGTGATGTTGTGCTAATTTGTCTTTTACTGGAATGCATATATATAAAAGGGGGAGGAGGAGGATTTCTCCTAATTTCAGTCCGTGGCCAGGATCGGCCCCATATAAAGGAAAGGAAACGAAAATCCTTACGAAACCCATTATGTATGTACAAAAACCTGCAATTTTTTTTAATAAGTTAGCTAATTCAACCATCTGAATCGTCAGAATTTAACTATCTTTAATTCCGGAACGCGTTCCTGTCCAAAAAGGAAGTACCGGATTATGTTCTGGAGCGTTCCAGCTCAACAACACCACTGAGAAAGACACTCACACATACAAACATACAAGGCACACACAATGACACTACGATAAAATATAAATACATGTATGATATCAATTATTTTCATTACATTAATCATTAATTAATTCTGCCACAGCTATCAATGCGTGAAAGGCGGTCAGGACGCGACCAGGAAAAAAGTGAAGAAGCAGTTCGAGTCCACCATAGACTTCGTTGAGGACTACTTGTGTAAAGACGTGACTAGGACGTGGTACTTGAGCGACCACGACCAGAACAAGTTGACCTTTGAGGTCGTTAAACTGGCTGGAGAATTAACTTACTTTGGGTTTTATAGGTAAGATATTGATTTGTAGTTAAACAAATTCATATAAATATTCTTTTTCAATAAACTGACTTCTACTTCATATATATGTTTTAGTCTCCGTGATGATAGTACTGACGCTAAAATATACTAGCGATGTGTTAAAATACGTATTGATATCGAAAAACTATTACTTTGCTTATATAGAGCAAGATAATGTTAGTGAAAACACAATTAAGAGAGGCTATAGTTTGTGAGCTGTTAATATTGTGCAGATGATTATATTAAAGAATTATATTACCATGATTTCTCTAGTTCACTTCATTTGTCTATAAATGTATATTTTTCAATAAATAATATAAATTTGTCCATAATTTTCTAATTTAACACAGCTTCAGCGATCTTCTTCGGCTGACAAAACCTTATTGTCTTCTTGACTGTGTGACTGCGATCGATCTACTGAACGAAACGAACGCCCTCGCCGGAGAAGTGGAATGTGAGTTACATTAAATATAAACTAAACAAGATATACAGGGTGACTGGTGAATTACTATCAATATTTAAGGATTATACTCGGTACATGATTCTCATTCGAATTATGCAAAAAAAAATAGGTACTTAATTTTTGACCAAATTTCCGTATAAATAAATAAAGTGTGGACACGTTCCAAGTGTTCCAAGTGTGGACGCGTGCGGCGGCGTGCTGACACAACACCACGCCGCCGCAGCGTGTGTGTTTGTGTGTGTGTATACCTAATCTGTAGGGTGTTCACACGATGCGTAATTAATTACATAACTTTTGGTTAACTTTACTTAGAAGTTTATTAATATTTATGTTGTATTAATTTTTATTTTGTCATATATGATCGTCAAATGTCACGTCCTCAAGTATCGATAGTAATTCACCAGTCACCCTGTATATACATAGGTTATTTATAAACATGTACGTACATCCTAAAAGATAAATGTAAAACATTAAAAAAGTTAATATATTTATTGTATAATATTCAATTTATGTTTATTTTAAAAACTTAATGTTACACGCAGCTGAGGAAAATGAAAAGAAAATATGTGAGTAGTATAGTGCAGAATAACTTTAGAAAATTATTACACATACTTGCCCTGGCCAAAAATATTGTTATATTTTAAATTTGGAGTCTATCATCTTTTTCCCGCCAATTTATGTAAAATATTTTTTAATATTAAAATAAGGATATACAGAATACTGAATGACTGTTAGTTTTATATAAAGTAGCCATGTAATCAAATACATTTTGTTAAAATCTAACTTCTAATAAGGAAGAACATATAAATGTATATACATATTTATGTCTGACCAAGATTTATATATTTGTTGCAGCGGAGGGGGAAGTTCTCCGGAGTATTGGCGATATGGGAGCAGTCATGACCTCCATCACACTCGGACCTGGAGCATTAAATGTAAATGTAACAGAAAACACATACAAACTATATTAAGGTCAGAACCAATTACTAATATATAACTCCAATAATATTCACTTAGTTTCAAACCACTGTAAGAACAAAAAATATCTGCATTTTTGACCACAATAATCCCTTAAAAAACTTGTTTCTTACTGAGATTTACAATTATTTAGTCGATTTATATATAGGAATGTATGTTGTTATTTAGAAAAAAAATATGTTTTTAAGTGTTGATTATACTATAAAGGATAAATCAAGACTCAGTATTTGCAATCGAAATAACCAAAATGTATGTTCTATTAGCAGGTGGTGGGCGGAGGGCCGGCGTCCTCGCCGCCCGTCAGCCTTGGCCCTGGCCCGGAAACATCCACTAGTGATGGAGACCAAGCTGAAGATTATAGAAATACTGCAGGTACGATACTAATAACAGCTCTGGAGATGTTACAACAACCGACACACATACTCAAAGCAAACGCACTCTTAACTATTTATTTATTTTCTTTGAAAAACACTTAACTATGCAATTTACAGTAAACGTTGACGTCCACACTAGGCTAGGCCTGTATCGTGGAAAGTTATACTCTAATTCTTAATTATATTTATATAGATACTGATCTAAATGTTCGAATGAAACTACATATTTCTTTATGATAAAATCAAGTGTAGTAAAACGAAAATATTGGTTTATTTAAATGAATATTCACGAAAGTCTTAGATCTCAGTATGATTAAAAGGTTCTTCAAAAATTTGTATTGTACGGCTAAACTAACAATTCTTGGAAAGTCTTTACTGTTTTACAAGTTTAAGAAAAACGTTTCTTCAGCTTGATACTACTATTATACTGACCAAAATAATACATTACTATGAAAGTGACCCAATATATACAAGAAATATTCTCCACAGTTTATCCTGGACGTTCGTTTGGACTACCGCATCAGCTGTCTGCTGTCGATCTTCAAGAAGGCCATCGAGACCTCCTCGCCGGACGCTCTCGGTCGAGTGGACGTGGAGGCCATAGGACTACAGGACGAGGTTATCTTCAGCTGTCGGTATGACACACACACACATACATACATACCAACACCGACTAGGCGAGATACAAATACAAAGACCATTGTATAAGAAAGTCATTCAACTTAAATTTTAACTCGAACATGTATAAAGGAGATCATTCTTTTTGGGCCTTTTTTAAAAGTGCCGGCCAACAAAAAAAAAAGGTACATATTTGTAGAACTAACCATTTGGAACAATAGTTAATATGGCGCAAAAGTTGTAGGATCCAAGATATAGAAGTTATACAAGTTTCAAGATTCATCATTTTGGTACTTTATTTTTTTCTGAAAGTGCCAGGAAACATAAAATAATGATTGATATTGCTAGAGTTAAGCTTCTCAAGCAAATTATTATAGCCATAATCTGTTAGAAACATGTCGTTTTTATGTAATACTAGCGAACCCGACAGACGTTGTTCCGCCAAGTATCTGAACGCATGCAACACATTTCTTGATGATTTTATTATTTGTCTAACCTAATATGTATATCGGGGTGCCATTTTTATATATAAAAAAAATTGGCCTAGAAGCACTTTTAACTGATTTTGTACCATTTCATGTCGGATTTGATCATATGACGCGAGAGCAAGTGGCGCAGAGGAACCTCATAGTGCCAGAGCGATAATTTGGTAATCCTAATAGTCCGATTGAAGAAAGAAAGGCCATCTCTATACTTGATGGCACTTACATATATTTACGGAAGAGCACTAATTTCTTTTTTCAAAGAAAATCTTATAGCAACCATAACTTTCGAAATCTTTTAAAGCCTTTTTAAAATATTTGTTGCAATGGAACTATAATAGCGGTAGATGGCCCATCGCTGCAACAACCTCCGATGCCCACATTATTTTATGTTTCCTGGCACTTTCAGAAAAAAATAAAGTACCAAAATGATGAATCTTGAAACTTGTATAACTTCTATATCTTGGATCCTACAACTTTTGCGCCATATTAACTATTGTTCCAAATGGTTAGTTCTACAAATATGTACCATTATTTTTTGTTGGCCGGCATTTTCAAAAAAGGCCCAAAAATGTATGAAGCCTGAATGATCTCCTTTAATCACATATGTACATATGTGATTTTATTCAGTTCAGTATCATGATATTAAAATGTTTAAAAAATTTATCTCGTTTCGTTGGCAATGTTCACACATGGTGTTATATAATTTCATGTAGATGTCGGTTGTACTATTGTAACTAATCGGTGGCGGGTTGATTGTAACATGAAGTCTATAGAATTTTTTTTCATCTATTTCTTATTAGTACTACTTTTATAAGTATTTATTACGAACACTTCTTGCTTCTATTAAACAATTACATATTAATCAGTAAATTTCATTCTATTAGATTCATTTGAATACATAAAATTTTTACTATTTTTATTTTTCACACTAGATAAATTACCATTAGCTCTAAATTATCTTTCATCAGTTTATCTATAATTGGGAATTAAAATCGTAGAAAGCACTTTGAGATAAGAAAAACCATTTAATTCTTATTTCGTCATACTGGCGATTGGTATTAATAAATTAACAATTATTTCAGAGCAATTCAGACTGTGCCTGACAACTGTCTTCCAAAAAATGTAGATTTGTTAGTAAGATTGAAATCTATTGCATGATGCATGATGAAAGTACCGCTATTAACCGCATGTATGATGCTATGATTTCTTTGCTTATATGTGGACATCTGATATTTCTGTATTTCCTTAACTTAATTATTCGAACAAAAAGGTATTGAATAATTTCCATTACAAGGTTCTGAAATACATTTCGAACAATTAAGGAAATGTTAGAATAAAATAGTTTGTATGTTACGCATGTTTTGTCCCAAGAAGCTTTAATATTTTTTGCGAGAAATAAAATCCTCATTACTAGGACTAACTAGTGTTACCTCTCCAACCGCAGCAAGCGATATTACACTTTACAGCTAATACAATAAAATCGACATCCTATTATCGGAAAGATTTAAGTTATTGTGAAGTGTTCTCTGTATAATTCTAACCTTTGTTTATTTTGATTTAAAAAACCCGTTACCCGAAAAAAGATTCTTTTTTAGGCATAATGCTTATAATCCTATTGCGATTTGTGATTTTCTCATATGATATTATATTTTAAACCTTAATAGTGATACAATAAGGTTTAAATTTCAGAGACGGTTTAGACCTGGATGCTTGCGGCGGTCGTATGGTGTTGAGAGTTCTGCTGCAGCTGTGTTCCCAGGGTGCTTCGGCCAGTCTTGTTTCAGGAGCCCAAGCGCTGCTATTCCGTCATTTCAGTCAGAGACAAGAAGTTTTGGAGGCTTTTAAGCAGGTCCGCTTTATAAATTAACTTAATTATTAAAAAAAATAAGTATTACCCGCAGATTTCCGGGATGTAAAGTAGCCTATGTGTTATTCTTGAACGTCAGTTTTCTGTATACAAAAATTTTATCAAAATCGGTTCAGCTGTTTTAGCGTGAAGAAGTAACAAACATACACACACACACTCACAAACCTTCGCAATTATAATATTAGTAGGATTAGTATTATATCAACATACCTTAGTATATTAAATATTTTACAAGATAACTCATAAATGCAAGTAATGAAGTCGACAAAAAGAGATCCTACGTAGTTTCTCATCATATGTGTGAGATTTTAATGTAATCTTTGTAGACTATAATATATTTATCGTTATATTCCGTTCAGGTCCAACTGTTAGTGTCTGACGCGGACTTGGAGTCCTACAAACAGATCAAGGCCGACCTGGACATACTGAGACAGAGCGTTGAGAAGTCGGAGCTGTGGGTGTTCAATAAGGGACGCGCCGGGATTATAGATGATCACAGCGGTGAGAATTTAATATAGTTATCAAATTAATAAATTCAAAATTTCAACTTTTTCGAATTGTCCTGCATATACCGGCAAAAATTATTCCATATACATATATTATCTGCAGTTCTAAGATATTTTATAAATTTTCTATACCTAAAACATAACATAAAAAAACAAACATTCATTCATACATCATGAAATAGTGGTATCTACATACTTAGGACTGTATAACTTGTAGATAATTATTAGTATCACCTGTAGATGATGAAAGAATATTGTTCAAAAAATATATAAATATTATTAAACATATATAAATCAATACTTTTCTAGATATAAAAGGCGCCGTTGGTCCTGGCGGGACGGTGTTGGAGCGAAACGCGTCCTTAGACAACGTGCGAGCACCGAGAGGAGATCGACAGGACTACGATAAGATTAAAGAGGTACAAAATAAATATTGCATTTATATCAATCTTCTACCCGGCAATTTCCCAGCTTTTAGCCAGGGTCTGCCTTACATGTTGTGAATAGTTTTGGCTAATTGTTCTTACGACCGGCCGCCTGCCTGACATCAACTCTATTTTGGGAATGCATAAATCAGTGATGTCTAAATACTCTTAGAAAGTATATATGACTCGGAAAAATCACATTGGTACTTGCCAGGATCGAACCCGCGCCCTCGTGCACGAGAGGCGGGCCTTTTAACCACTAGGCCACTTAAGTCAGTAGTTGACTTAAGTTGCATTTATATTAATGTTTCATCTAAATTGGCGCTTCAATCTCTGATAGTCACTACAAATGATAAGTTGATGTAAAAATTTATTCGTCAACTTTAATAAATACTCAGTAGCACAGTCGACATAGTGACTTGGATACCGTATCGAACAAGTTATAAGTTCAAATTTGATGGATCCCAGTAATTTTATTATAACATAATATCGTTAATTTATAATTGGTAATACAGAACTTCCAAGTTGTTTTTGTTGATAATACATAAGATATTAAATATTTTTTTTAAAATTTTTATTTAATTATCACCTAAATTCAACAGGTAGACAATAAGATTAATTTTTTTGCTTTGCGTGAATGTTGTGTACATCTGTAATTGTCACTCATATCAGGTCCTAGATTTTTTTTCTATTTTATCTTTGTTTATGTGTGCTGAATATGTGTGATGTTGATGTACCTTTTAAATAAATAAATTTAAACATTGTATAAAACAGATCCTGGAACGTATGATCGAGTACTGTACCCAGGGCAACACGGCGAGGGAGGGGGCGACTCGAGACCGCGGAGACATGAACAGAGGCTACTGAGGAATATAGGAGTACATAATGTAGTGCTGGACCTGCTGCAGGTGGGTGGCGGAGCAGTTAAAACAATATATCGATACGAGCAGGATTTAAACCCTATATATGTGTATGTATGTATTTATATATATCACAAATGTAAAACAGTATTCTCAAGGGTGGCAGGTTTCATTACTAGTCACGTCAATAATTAATAGTTCTTTCTATTTGGACTTCAATACAAGTCTTAGCTCCTTGCTGTAATAATAAAACCAATAGTACTTAATACTAAAATGCTGAAGTGCAGGAAAAGTAAATGTTACTGCTTTTTTAAGTTTTTTCTTTATCTTCTCACTTAAAAGCCATTGTTGCTTTTACATAACTGTTTCCGGAAATATGCTATACCTACACTCATGATATAGGTGTAAATCATTTAAGATCTACGTTTATTTTCTACAAAGCAAAAAAAGGAAAGAATAATTTTCTGCTGTATGTTATAAATATATTCTGTAATCAATTATTTCCAGGTGCCACACGATGAGGACGACGCTGTTATGGACGAGCTGCTGGGCCTGGCGCACGAGTTCCTCCAGCACTTCTGTCACGGGAACACACAGAACCAGGCCATACTACACAAACACCTGGATCTGTTCCTCAACGCTGGAGTAAGAACAGGCTATTGAATATAAACAATTGTACTGTTATTTTGTTAAATATCGTATTTTATTATAATTATTATTACAATTAGTTGCTATTTTTTACATATATGTCTAAGTTTTCACAGTGTCTCATAAACCAATATTAGTTTTTCCGTACACTGGAATTCATCGTCGTTAACTCACAGTTACTTTGACATCTCAAGACATTTATATTTTATACTTCATGTATTAAACAATAAGAGAAATAAAAGAAATCAAGTCAATAATATAATGATACGTGTATGATAAAATAGAGTAATAAAATTAACTAAAGATATAGAAATAATATAAAGTGCACAATCTAACAAATAAGTAACATATGCAAGGTAAATGTAACCTGATTATTATTATTTTATATATACCATAGCGCTAAATTATTGTTTTACAATTATAGTATAGCCAGCGATCAAAGCATCAAAACGATAGTTTTATTCAGACAACTTTTTACATCAGATCCGCGAAGCCCAGACCGTGTGCTCGATATTGGAAGAGAACGCAGCTCTGTGCGCTCACGAAGGGAACGAGAAGGTCGCCGCGCACTTCGTACACTGCATCGAATCCAACGGACGGAGGCCCGCCTGCCTCAAGTTTCTGAGAACTATAGTACGAGCGGGACCTCACCATATACGGAGGAGCCAGGACCTGGTCATGCAAGAAGTAAGTTCCTCTCCCTTCACCCATCATAGCATGCATGGTTTTAAGAGACGAAACCTCTTAAAATTCCATGATTTCCCGTGGTAGCGAGTCTATCGTTGTAGTGAGAGGAGTTTCAATAGCTCTTAGGACTTGTGACCCAGGAGTAGGTTTAAGAGGTCCCTATCTAAGGCGCATTAAACGCTCACCTCCATTTTTAAAGCTCCTCTATCAAATATTACCTAACATAAATTTCTATTTTCAGTAATATAGTTATGTTATATCACATGCTTATGTCGTCAATGTATTATGTAAACACGATTTTTTCTCTGTTGTTCAATAATAAATCTATCTTCGTTAATAAATATCTATTCTATCATTTGAGTTCATGAATGGAAACTCGGAAACGCTCAGTATTTAGTTAAACGACGCATACTTGTACTAAGGTACATATAATACATATATTTAATCGTACTTCATGTTTCATTATAGATGCTGAATGCCGGCGAGGACGTGCTGGTGTTCTACAATGATAAAGTACTCTTCAACTACTTCATCAAAATGATGAGGGAGTACAAACAGACGGGAGAGATGCCTGAAGCTCTCACGTAATATATATACCATTATATGATCATTTCAAAATTTATAGTCTTGCTCTGGCATTTAATAAGGATTTAAAATAATTATGCATTAATTACGAAAAGTTTGAAAACAAAATTAACCAACCCAATTTTCATTACTTCAATGGTCGAATTTGTATACATTATTAAGGTACAACAGCGTGAGATATATATGCAAGAAAGGTTTATCAATAGCTTCTTTGACAATCTAATATAGATATGCACTTAATATTACATATAATTATTAATATTTATGTATATATTTCTTGCAGGTACCACATAGACCTCATAAAGCTGTTAACATGCTGTACCCTCGGGAAGAACGTGTACACGGAGATCAAGTGTCACAGTCTGCTGCCACTAGACGACATAGTGGCCATGATCACACACCCTGACTGTATACCAGAGGTCAATCACACTTATACATATGTAACATACATCCATGTAGCTGAAATCGTGGTAGTAATTAATACTATCGCAACTTAGTCACAAAAATATTAATCAAGACCGAATGTTGGATAATTATTTATTGAAATATCAAATTGAATTAATTTTATTATTTAACTCAATTGGCTTGCACAAACTAAGCTTAATATTATAAAATGAATGAGAATGCTAAGAAGTTATTGTAAACAATATGTATATGATATCAATAGGGCCCGGATTAATATTTAAATACATATTTTTAATTTACGCGATTTTTGGTCTAGAATGTGTTTTTTACATGGATTGTCATATTTAGACTGAACAACCAACTTTTATTTTCCATATTTTACCATATTTCAAAGTTAAGTCCATATTTTACAAGAAAATGTCACAATCATCCATATATTCACAAAATACATAAAATTTACGTTCCCGCCACTAATGTTTTGGATAAAAGTAAAGGATTTTAGACGCTAAAAAATTAACAAAATTCTGTGCGAAAGTTCCGAGTTTAATTATGAAAGTATTTTATTTTATACTGCATATTTTTTCCATATTTTTGATTTTTTTCGTCCATATTTTATGTACATATTTTAGATTTTTTAATACATACTTATCCGGGCCCTAGTTATGATACATATGTAATTGTATTATTCTTAAATTATTTCTGTATTCTTATGACAATTATAATTTATTCTTTTGCTATTTCTAAATAAAAAATATTAAATAAACATATCTTTCTTTATTTTTTTTTTACAGATTATAATATGGGTTAAGTAAATGAAACAACCAATTAAATATGAGACATAGCGTTTTTATTCAATAATCAATAATATTGTTGTTTATCGATAGAATATTTAGCATTAATAATATATACAAGGAAACAATAGCAACTAAATAGATCTTAAAACTTAATACCGCGATGATTTATTTAAAATTATGTAATATTATAATCAAGCACACATATATCTTAATCAATTTTAACTATTTAATTTATCCTAGCGTTCTTCTTGGCTCTAACGCCAGCGAATGTTCAAGCTTGTTATTCTAACAATTCTAGGTCTTACGTGCTTCAGTCTCAAACCTTTTTTTATTACATTCCTCATGATACCATTCTTTATACATACATTTATATATATCTGAAAAACGATGTGAGCAAGCGTTGCCGTACATAGTATTTCGACGATCAAATCAACTTAATTTTATCTAAACATAAAACGTATATAAAATTATAATGTGTTAGTTTTTAATGAAGTTTCATTTAAAAATATTTATATTTTAAATGGTATTAATTTAGATTGATTTTATACTGTCCGTCAGTGATACTGAACGTGAAAACCAATATATAATAATACATTTTGTACCTATCTATCTAATTTTATCAGAAGTTGTGCAAATATCGAAACCAATTTTTATTGACCCATAAAAAGACGAGCCAACATATTTCTTCATAGCGAGAATGTTAGTTTCATTAACCGATCATTATGCTTCTAATATAACAATATCAAAACTGTTAGTATCAGATACTTGTACTTAATTTAAATCTTAATATTATTTGATATTTCTACAGTGTTAACATCATGTAAGCGGTTATTTTCAAGACTATAAAGCTAAGCTATCTATAGAGGTTAACGGGTCAAGTAATATGGACCGATGTCGAATATACGACGGTACAATTATAAGAAAATACATAGAAATTTTTCACCGGATAGATTACATGTTAGATCCGGGAAAGAGAATTGTAAAATCCTTTATATGTACGAGTATTGTCTTTTCATTTTTATGGTTTACGTAAATATCCTGAATCGTCACATTTCAAGTATTGTATAGATTTTTCTTTAACATTTTGTAATAGCAAATACCTAGTGTGCATTTGCTAAGCCTAAGCCGATAATAGTAAAAATGCATTATTATAAAGAGAATATGTATGCATCAGTATTTATTTCTTCGTTTTGCTAGAACTTGACGTCGGTTTTGGAATCATAGAAAGAGATCTGAAAAGAAAAATTTTTTCAGAACTACATCAACACACTATTAAATTATATGCATTTTCTAAGCGCACGGTAGAGCGCCGGCCAAGTTCCACAGGCCGCGCGCATGCCGTGCACTATTTACACGAACCGTTTCGACCCACTTTTGAACCCCCTGTAGCTCAGTGCCTATTGCAAGTACAGAGATAAAATTTTACCTACGTAATCATATACTAGTACTAAAGCAGTATGCCAAATTTCATAGATAAAGCTTCAGTAGATCCTGAAATATGACCCTGTGAAAGTAGCTAATTTTGGCACTGACTCACTGACAGGTAATCAAAATCTCTAGGCCACTTCCCATTGTTTTGGCATTATGAAATTTGGTACACAGGTTGTGTGTTATATGTAGATTAACAAGAAATTAAGAAATTTAAGAAATCGGTCAAGCGTGAGTTGCCTCAATTCTAAATATCGAATTTTTAATAAATTCGACCCACTCTTGACCCCCCTGTAGCTCAGTGCCTATTGCAAGTACAGAGATAAAATTGTACCTACGTAATCATATACTAGTACTAAAGCGGTATGCCAAATTTCATAGATAAAGCTTCAGTAGATCCTGAAATATGACCCTGTGAAAATAGCTAATTTTGGCACTGACTCACTGACAGGTAATCAAAACCTTTATATAGGCGCTCAGCTCAGCACAATAAAACACATAATAATGAAATATTAATAATTAATAATATGAGTACATCTATCAATCGGTGATAAATGAAACTAAAAAATAAATATAGTTTAAAAAAACTAAAAAACACGCTACAATGATGAAAGAAACCGCGTGTAAACTAATTTAACCTTTACAACCTTGGAAATCAATTTAATTTAAATTGTTTAAAATAAACAATAAATGGTATTATGAAAAAAAAAAGCGTTGGCCCTTCTCAAGAAGTGATATATGAAGCTCATCACGCTTTTTTTCACAAAAATACCATTTATTGTTTGTTAATTTATTTTTAAATTAATATTATTGTGAAAAAAAAATGTGGGGCGCTTCTTAAGAACTGATATATACAGGGTGACTGGTGAATTACTATCGATACTTGAGGACGTGATATTTGCCGATCATATATGACAAAATAAAAATTAATATAACATAAATATTAAAAACTTCTAAGTAAAGTTAACCAAAAGTTATGTAATTAATTACGCATCGTGTGAACACCCTACAGATTAGGTATACACACACACACACACATTTGCGGTGGCGTGGTGTTGTATCAGCACGCCGCCGCACGCGTCCACACTTGGAACGTGTCCACACTTTATTTATTTA